ACACACACCCACACATGTACAGTCAGACATTAATGAGGAAGAGGAGATTGATCCGAGTAGGTGTCTACATCTGCGCGCTAACACCCTAGCTACACACGTGCGTGCACACACACACACACACACACACACACACACACACACACACACCCACACATGTACAGTCAGACATTAATGAGGAAGAGGAGATTGATCCGAGTAGGTGTCTACATCTGCGCGCTAACACCCTAGCTACACACGTGCATGTACACACGCACACACACACACACGCACGCACGCACGCACGCACGCACGCACGCACAATAACACGTACGCACGCGCACACGCACACGCACACACACACACACACACACACACCCACGCATGTACAGTCAGACATTAATGAGGAAGAGGTGATTGATCCATGTAGGTGTCGACATCTGCGCGCTAACACCCTAGCTACACACACTCACACACACGCATGTACACGTATACACACATGCATGCGCACTCAGACATCAGTGAGGAAGAGGAGATTGATACGAGTAGGTGTTCAAGTCCGCGCGCTAACACTCTAGATACACACGTGCACGCACACACACATGCGCACGTACCCCACACCACGTCATGCTTAAAGATAGGCACGCACGTATTCACGTAAGTTTCTCCTTTTTCTTGGGTGGATACCTGACTCTTTGTATGTGCAGAGAATCACGTCCTAGCAGAGTGAATATTCTTATACTCTAGGTAGAGTACATGACTTTACATGCAAACACATTGGGCAGATTAACCCAGAGAAACATTTCGTAATATTTGCACGCACGTGTTTCAGGTAAGAACAAGCGAGCGCGACTAGATCTGCTCAAGGAACAAGGCTCGAAGCTGAAGTACATCTTCCGCGATTCCGCGTACTTCCTCATTAAGAGTAACAACCACGAGAACATCTCCCTAGCAAAGGCAAAGGTACGTGCAACGGGGTGGAGCGATCGCGGCGTCCGGTGTTTACCTACCCAGCGTCACGTCAGCCCGATGATGTGTGTTCTTCCTGTTTGATTCGGGCCATTCGGCACGCAAGTGTGAATAAATAATAGTTGTTGTTTAAAAAAAGGTTTTGTAGATGTTGCTGATGCTGATGTCCATAATGCTGCACGTTTTAGATGTGTTGTTTGCTAAAGGTAATTTAGAGTGCACTGCGCATGTGCAAGCAGCTCAAATAGACCGTTATGGTTATATTTGTATTGCTTAGTGTGTAGATACATCTCATGTACATTTTGTTTGCTTCGCCTGTAGGGTGTATGGTCTACGCCACCACAGAATGAAGCCAAGCTAAACAAGGCCTTTAAGGAATGCAGAAACGTTATTCTTGTCTACTCGGTAAAAGAGAGTGGGAAATTCCAAGGTATGCAGCTACCAAGTAGTATTTTCAACATTTCTAAATGTGTGCGCTAATGATTTTCGTTTAGGTAGTCCACGTACAGCTTTTACTAGTATCAGCGTACTCAGTTGTTCGTATTATCAATGATGGAAAAGCAGCTACTTAAAATTCAACTTGGTCAACTTAGTTAGATCCAGGTCTGGTCAATAGAGAGATGGAACGTGAGTGATAAAAGAAAGAGGAGAGAGATAGATAGCGAAAGAGAGAAAGTGGGGGGAGAGAGAGAGAGAGAGAGAGAGAGAGAGAGAGAGAGAGAGAGAGAGAGAGGGAGAGAGCGAGAGAGAGAGAGAGAGTGGGAGAGAGATAGGGAGCAAGAGAGAGAGAGAAAGAGAGAGAGAGAGGCATAGCGGTGTGGAAATCAAAAGTTGCAGGACAGTAACAGACCAATGATTCGTGCTGTTCTGTGTCATTCAGGCTACGCGCGACTCAGCAGCGAATCTCGTCACGACATCGCGCCGCCGCAGTGGGTCCTCCCGCCCGGCATGACGTCACGCGCTCTGGGAGGCGTCTTCAAGATCGACTGGGTGAACAGGTAGGCAGCAACAGAACCCCGAGTTTATGAATAATTTCGCGAAACCCCACGTGCGACCACCGAGGTCTTGTCTTGTCATCTATATGTATTGTCTTGTCGTCAATGTTTCTAAAGAGCTCGAAATTATCTATCTCGCTCTCTCTCTCTCGTTGTGTCGTAGGAAGGAGCTAGCCTTTTCCAAGACTCTCCACCTGCACAACTCCTGGAACGAGAATAAGCCTGTGAAGATCGGCCGAGATGGACAGGTATGTCGATGGGTGAGGTATAGTGGGTGGGTGTGTCGCTGGAAGGGAGGGGTAAAAAGTTAGTAAAGGTAAAGCCTAAGGTAAAGTTAAATGTAAGTGTAGTGAAGCCGCTTGCTTATCGTAATCATATAAGTGGTTACGCGTGGGTGTATGTCTAACACCCTTTGCTAACGTCTATCAGGCACACATTGAAAAGTACACAACAGCAGTGATATACGTATTCTAGTTACTCTCTTTAATCGTTGCCTCTTAAACTATGTATAATCCCACAAAAGGGCAGCCGCGTACACGAGGTTTACGCGAGACACTGTCATAACTTACGAGGCTAATGCTGTGACGACGGGTTATCTAAATGGATGTGTAGTCTATATCTATCTCGGTCTGTCTGTTCCTTCTCTCTCGCCGAGCAAGAGATTTTATACACAATCTAGAGATCCTGCCTACCTATTGTTTATCGTCAACCCCGCTGTAGCGCAACCGCCTGTAATTGGTTGTCTTTACTAAATGGCTGGTGACATGGCCACGACTACACAGCTGGGCATGTACCCAAAATAGAACAATAGCATAATTGTGATTCTACCCTTTTCCCTTGCTAATTGCTTACTGTGTACTTCTGCGTTATTGCATAAGCAATCGGCAGGTACGATCGTTTAACTCACGAAATTGTTCGCCGTATAGGTTTCGCATTCGAAAGCGCTAACGATTGTTTTGCAGAGACCTTAAACTCACATTAATAGGCTTGTGTACTTTGCGTACATAATGTACCAGGGCAAATTGTCAGAAACATCAGAAATAGCTCTCCTTTTATAATTGCAAAGTATAATGAATAATACAATTTTGCTCAATACTCCCCATTTCAGTTATTTAAGTTATGCTTTAGAAGTCATTTTAGGCTTAACGTTGTTATAGCTACTTCTGATGTTCCTTACAAAGCACACCCCGGTGTATTACGTATGCTGAGTACCCAGGCATGTTGGTGGCAAGTTCTAGAACTTCAAAAAACTGCCGTAAAACAAATTAAATTTACTTTAAATTCAATATTAACATTTTAACATCCGTATAATTATATATTAATATTAAACCTGAATATTAAATTTCCGTAAACTCGAAATTCTTGTCAACCTTCAATATCCGTTGACTTTCGATTTCCGTAAACTTTAAATTCCCGCAAACTTTCGATTTCCGTAAAGCTTCATTGTTGGACTAGTGACTCCGGCTGTGTTCTGTTCGCAGGAGATCGAACACAACTGCGGCGAGTCGCTGTGCCGGCTGTTTCCCTTCGACGAGAACATAGATTTGACGTCCGTCGCTCGCAAGGCGAAGCACAGCCGCAACCGTGTGCACGCCGCACCGCGAGACCGCCCGCGCGACCACCGGCGCCACAACCGGGAGCCACCTAGGTTAGGACTGTGTTGCGCGGCGGCCGGCTGATTCGCCGGTGCGTGAACCGGCGCCGCGGCGGTGGCGGCCGTCGTTGCTCGCCGGAGAGAGAGGGCTCTAGTGAATCTGCGTCGCGGGCGAAGGTTCTCTCGGACTGCGTCGCTCATCCGTGTAGAACTGTCGTCTACGTGTGTTCAATCGCGCCGCGGTCGCCGCGGCGACCGCCTCGATCCGAGTCGGCACGGGAAAATGTCGCGCGGTTAATTCCGCAGCGATGGAACGTCTCGAGCGAAGGAAGCGATCGACGGGAGTGTGCGCGCGGGGGAGGGTCGAGCGTGCACTTGTTTTCAGAGTGCGGCGTCGTCTCGTAGGTGGAAGTCGACGGCAACGACGCGACGGTGACGCTTGCGTGCGCGCGTGGTTGTCGCTCGGCAACCGCGTGCGAAGTGAAGGGAAGCGTCGCCGCCGCCGCGGCCGCCCCCCGCGCACGTCCCGTGAATTTCTTTGCGTCTTGCCTTTTGTTGAGTTGCTTCTAGCGTGCATGGCGGACGTTAGGTGGACGTTAGGTGGACGTTAGTCATCGTCGTTTCTCATCGGCACGGCGGTGTGTAGATGCGCCGCGGCCGCAGAGGGCGACGCTTGTTTAAACGGAGGTCACGGGGTCGCGTAATTTTCGAGCGAAAAACTGTCGTTTTTGTTGGCGAAAAAAAGCGAGAGAGAAAGTGCCGTCTGGGCACGGCTTCCCCCTCTCCCGAACGATGTAAGGTGTTGAAAACCTCGAAGGATACGTGTGTCGACTGATTAGTGCATCCGGTCGTTTGAGGAGCGTTGTCTCGAAGCTTTGCCTGAAGTGCAGCTGTCTAAGTGCGAGTGTGTGTTTCTCAAAAAAGCTCACGGACTAAAATTTGTGAATGCACAAAAAAGAACGTTCTGGACTTCCGCTAATGCTGCTGCCGTGTTTCCGTGTCGCCGCCGACGCACTACGCAAAAAAATCGAGGACTTTTTCCAAAATGTTACCGCCGGCTCAGAGACTTGCCCTAAAAAAAATTGAGGGAAAAAATGAACTTAGTTTTACGGTTTAGCAGTGTAATTCGCTACCTGTACCTTGGCTCGTCGGTGGTTCTGCGCACTACTGTAAACGTGACGTGGTGTGTGTGTGGGTGTGTGATGATGATTCATTCAGGAGTACTCTTACACTCGCACGGGCCGGAGTCGCGTGCTCAGTAGTGACATTACCCCCCGCAATAAGTGTACCCGAATGGTGCCGGGGTGCGCGGCCGAATCAGAACTGTGCCAATGTGTAGCCATTTCTAGTGACCACTGTTGTGTGTACTGTGTGAACATCAACCAGAGGTAACTATGAACATGTGGTGAGCCCTTCTAGACTCTCAGTAGTAGTGTGACTACAGTATCACTTCAGAAACTAGACTGTCCATCTATCTATCTATCTAGCTAACTATCTACCTATATATATATACTGTATATATACTATTATTACTTGTATCTATTAATATATATAGTATATAATATAATATAATTATATATATAGTAATATAAATAGAAGAGACGAGAGAGAGTAGAGACGAGAGAGAGAGAGGAGAGAGAGAGATAGAGAGACCTGAGAAGGAAGAGAGCGATAGAATCGACATACACGCATGTAAATGATATAATATGTGCAATCTGTTGAGTGTAGAGTGCATTCGTCATGCTTAAGCAACCACTTAAAGTCTCTTATGTCACAATAATCCACTAACTTTGCCCACCTAGATTATGCTAATTCTAGCTGATATATTTATGAAGAATAATGTTAATTGCACCGCGTTCACGTATTTTTAATGTTCGAAATATTCGGCAGCAGATCAGAAGTGAGGCTCTTCCTGCGTGAGAGTTTAGGCGGTGTCAACTTCTTGCAGAGAAGTGTGTCAGCGTACGATCGAAGCACGCGGGTCCTCGTTGTCATAAACGTTGATAATTAGCTATGACATCATACGTGGAAAATGTGCGTAACTTTTTTTACACAACATTTCCCGTGGAAAAGTATCGTGACATTTTGGTCTTATGACGTCATTACTAATGATGTCGGTGACAAACGGCCCCATAATCGCTTGCAGTTAATTTTTGTTTAAAGTGTAAATTAATTCTAGGAAGACATGTTAGGGGAACTTTTATTCTAAAAAGTAATGTTTTCACGATTGCCCACATTTTTGCTATTATTTCGAACCAAAAAAAGATGTTAGTTGTGGAAAACTTTTGCATTAACATTCTTGTGACGTAGGAACTTTGAGCTTACATAAGTGCTGGCAATTCCTATTTTGGCTATAGTGATACTTATGAAATCTACGAGTAAAGGAAAATCTAGCATTTATGAAGAGCTGAGGAAAAATATCCATACATGTGCAATTATGTGATAATATTAGATACTTTTAGATCTAGATTTTTACAAGCGTATTTAAGCAATACATGCTGGTTATACATGCGTGAAACTAATGTAGATAGCATAGTACCTTGGTTTCATATTGCACTAATAGTGTTCATAGAAAGTTTCTGCCATCCTGCACTGTAAATATACTGGCTTGGCAGATGGGTGGAGCTGAAAGGGTAATTGTATGTGATTCACCTCTCTCTATCTCTCTCTCTCTCTCTCTCTCTCTCTCTCTCTCTCTCTCTTTCCCCTCCCCCCCCCCTCTCTCTCTATCTCTTTCCCACCCCTCTCTCTCACGCTCGCTTTCTTTCTTTCCATCTCTTTCTTTATCTTTCACTCTCTCTCTCTCTCTCTCTCTCTCTCTCTCTCGCCCTCTCTCTCTCTCTCTCTCTCTCTCTCTCTCTCTCTCTCTCTTTCTCTCTCTCGCGCGCGTGTTGTAAAGCTTCTTCTGTGTGTGATGTTGTAGGCTGCATCGAGGAGGAGGCAGGGAGTACGACCGCGGCCCACCGAGGAGGGGAGGCTACGGCGCGCAGCAGCGTGAAGGTTTCTACCTCCACCTTCCTTCATTCTCTCTGTTGTCTCGCTCATGCGTGCCAAGGAGCTAAATATAACAAGGAGAGGAAGCAGATTGGCTGTGTGCTTTTCGCCTCAAGGACGCCATCTATGGACCATAATCAGCTGAAACGGCTGTGCAGACCCGAACCCAGAGACAATAGAACACTAATATGTTCTAGGCCAATATGACCAAATATGGCAAAGATTTGGGCCAGATATGGCGGCGCTTCCTCTCCTTGTTATATTTAGCTCCTTGGTGTGCGCTACGTGCTTCCCTCCGCACGATGCGCCGTGTCCCGTCGCAGGCGGACCCCTCGCGCGTTTTTCGCGAGCGTCCGTAGACGGCAGACTCGTGGTTGATTCGCGATCGTCTGAGCGCTCCCTAGCGGTAGATGGCTGCGTCGGAAACGGCAACGCCACGGCGATGACATGAACTGGAATCCTCTAGGTTTATTCTGCGCCATGTAGAATTTATTCTATGAGTAGAGCAGTGTTTCCCCTGGCCGAAAAGATCTGTTAGGTGGTAAATTTTTATTTTTGGTGTGTGCGTTTCGAAGTCCTAGCAAAGCGAGCACAGCGGTTGGGAAATTTTTGAAAAAATGGTGCAATTTGGTCCATTCTAAGCTATTTTGGTGCATTATAAGCATGGTGGTTCTATGGAAGGACAGTGATTTTCGTCAGCGAGGCGGTGTTTTTGACGAATTTCTGTGTGGCGGCGCGCCTCTCTCGTGTCAATGCAGGTTAACGCTGGTAGAGGATGCGAATGATTGTATGATGACCTTGCGGTGCTAGGTGCAGCAGGCCGGGTCGTGATTGCTCGTACCCGGTTCGACGCAACGGCGGAAGGTTGCCGCGGTTACGAGTCGTAGGGAAGCACGTAGATGAGCGCATAGTTTTGTAAAAAGAAGATGTTCTACGTCAAGATCTTCCAAATGCTGCCTTGCCCTCATAATGTGCCCAGCCACACGTAATCGTGCTCTCTCTCCTCTGATTGTGGGTGTTCCTACTCCTCCCTGAATGTTCCCTGATTGTTCTCTCCCACTCCCTCTGAGTGTTCGCCTTGAATGTTTCCTCCCACTCACCCTGAATGTTCCCTCCCACTCCCTCTGATTGTTCTCTCCCACTCCCTCTGAGTGTTCGCCTTGAATGTTTCCTCCCACTCACCCTGAATTTTCCCTCCCACTCCCTCTGATTGTTCTCTCCCACTCCCTCTGAGTGTTACCTCCTATTCGCCTTGAATGTTTCCTCCCACTCACCCTGAATTTTCCCTCCCA